AGAGTTTTGTCTGTTACTACCACGTGGTAAGGCCTCCATTAATGCATGATGGTTGGCTTAGTACGTCCCCCATAGTGAGGGATAGGCCTTTTGGCTCCCTACGTCCCCCAGAGTGAGGGATAGGCCTTTTATGGCTCCTTACGTCCCCCATAGTGAGGGATAGGCCGGCTTTGGCTCCTGAAAATCCCCCAAAGTGAGGGATTTGGTTGATGGGATTTGCATCATTTCACTCGCATGATTTATTGTGGCTATCTTGTTATTATATTACTTGTGAACTGCCCCACTTGACACCTCACGAGCACCTATTTAGTAGTACCTAGTATTGGAAAGGTTGGTTACTGGGACTTAGTCTCACCCCGTGGTCTACAATGTTTTCAGGAGAAGGTTCTAGGCGTGCGCCTTCGGGAAGAGACGCAGAGGCTTGAGCTTGGTTAGCTGTAGGCCTCTTGCTTTTGTCTATGTATGATCTGTTGTATATTGCCACAGTTAGGGTCTTTTCGTGATATTTTGATTGTTGATCTATTGTAAATTGGAGGATACGTTATCTCCTTATTTTGGTTGGCCAGAGGCCATTGCTAGTGTTTGATGAACTCTGGATTATATGGTTGAAAACTATTTAGATGGGCTGATTTTGATGTATGTTTACCCGGGCCGGAGGCTCGGAGGCCCAGTGGATATGAATGGATTATTTTAGTTGCATGCAACGTCTTACGGGTTGACCCGAGCTTGAAAGTCAATTTCTAAAAAGTATGAAATTTTCCTTCTACTATGGTAGCTCGTTTTAACAGCTCTCCTTTTCTACCATAGTAGAGGTTTTATGACGGGTTATAATGTTTTTAGGGTTAAGGGTTTTTACACTATAAATAGGACCAAAATTAAAAATATTTTCTCTCTTTATCTTATAAGTAGTCCCAAAAGAGTATTTAAGAAAGAACGCATGAGACATAGTAGGCAAACATAGTAACACATTTTTATATCTTGAATATTTTGATTGTTCATTAATTATAAATGAGCTTCCACCTAATTAGTCTCAGCATTCTGCAAATTAAATTAGGAATTCATAGAATACCATAACAACATTCATTGCATTTAAAAAAAAAGGAAAAAAAAACACAAGAAGAAGACTTGATAAAAGGTGTGGCACGCCACTAAATTTACCAATGCACATACACTAATAACATACTATCTTCTGTACTAATTGTAAGATTTTATTTATTGTCTACAAACAAGGTCTTATGATTAGAATCAAAGGTAGTATATTACTATAGCTAGTAGTGCTCATGTAGCATTAGTAACATGATGACGATGACGACGACAACGACGACAATGATGATGATGAAGAATCCTTACAAAGGATTAATGAAGCTCTTTTATTTACTCATTACATAGTACAATACATCTAGACCTCTTTAACTAGAGACATGACTGCCATCTTTTGCCGTTGCCAATGGTGGTGGTGACCGGGATGGTATGTACGGCAACTGTATGGGTGGTAGTATGATTGCAAAACTGGGAGAGATGAGAACCAAAATGGCAAGAAGGACGAAGAAGAAGGAGAAGAAGAAGGGCAATGGTGAAGCCATGTTGTCATGAGCTTTGTGATTGTGTTTGGCGCAGGGAAGGAGCAGAGTGAAGTTGGTTTATGTAGGCTTTGGCTAACTAGCCCATGCTATATGACAAGGCCATTTGTTACATCATCACATTAATTATTGTATTTCGTATGTTACTGTATATATAAAATATTCAGTGGGGTTCAGCAAACAAACATATATTCTAGAATATATATATATATATATCTGTGTGTGTGTGACCATTCCAATAACTTTATAATCCACTAGGGTTATGAATTAGAGCCCATGTTTGAATGGGTTCGTGTTACCCAAAAATTTCGTGGTCCTAAAAGCATTATAGTACGGTGTTAGTTTTACATGCCACGCACCTGGATTAGACAGAGTTACCACTTAACGGGTTAGTTTGGATTAGCGGTAAAAAAATAGTTTATTTTCAATTTGATTTTTAAAAAAGTTAAATTGGGTAATGTAATTTATGTTTGGATTGACTGTCATAAAAGTTAGTTTGTAAAAATTAAATTAGGTAAAAGTTATTTGAATTATAATTGAATAAATAAGTTTAGCTTGTAAAATTATCAAAATTGGTATGACTTTTATTAAAATAAAAAAAATAAAATCACATAACTTAAAAATTTTAAATTATTTTAATAGAAAGAAGTGAAATTTAAGACCAAAATATATTTTAAAAAATCAGAAATATTATAAAAAAAATTTGTACCCAATCGTGCTTAACAGTTTCACCAAAAGTAAGTTTCCCCTGCTTATGCCTAATCATGCTTCTGATGTTACTTTTTGCCTATGAGTAAAATTAACAAAATGCTCAACCAAACATGTTTTCAATTTTTAATCATGCTTATGAGACATATAAGCCACTTTTGGCCTCTTGAACGCCTAGCCAAACAGGCTCAACATTCAGCTAAGATGATTAGATGACACTGTTTGGAATGGAATCAGTTTGGGTCCCCTTTGGATCATCCAAATCTAATATGGATAATCCATATTTAATATTTTTAATTAATTATTTTTAAATAAAGATATATTTTAAAAAAAGTATTAACCAGGATGTGATTTTTATTTTAGATTTTATAGCCATTAAAATAATTATTTTAAAAAACAAAAATAAAAAAATTATGATCGTCCAGATTTGATCTGGACAGATGAGATGAGTTTTGGATGTTCATTTCTAAGATAATTGCCACCCAAACCAGTCCTGCTTCGAATATATGCTTATAATGATTCAAGAAATTTTTATTGAGACAAGGACATTCATTCCGAAAATGGAAAATTACATTGAACAAATCATTTCTAAGGATAGCAATGGAATCGTAGGGTGGCCTCTAACAAATATCAAACCTAGCTACATTCAAATACCAAAAGTTTCCTTGACCTCTAGCATAACAATCAAATTATAATAACGTTATTGATTCATATGAAAATAAATAATAGTTTATATGCATCAATTAATTTTTTGCATATTTAAAATTCATAATGTTTGACTAAGCAAATGTATTTTTAAAAGCATGAGAATAAGAGTAGAAAATATGTTACTCCCTCATGTCACTACAAAAAAAAAACAGCTAATTACCGACCAAAATAATTCCGTCACTAATTTCTGACGGAGTACTGACAAAAATTCTGTTGCTAAATTCAGTCACGGAATTAGCGACGGAATTTTTTCCGTCAGAAATTTTCGTGGTTAATTCCGTGGCTAAAATTTTACAATTGAAATTAGCCACAGAATTTTTCCATCAGAAATTTCCTTGGCTAATTTTGTGCCTAAAATTTTATAATTAAAATTAGCTATGGAATTTTTTTTATCAAAAATTTTCATGGCTAATTCCGTGGCTAAAATTTTATGATTAAAATTTGTGAGGGAAAAATTTTTCGTTGCTAATTTAGTGACGGAAAATTATTCCGTCACTAATTCCATGGCTAAAATAAAATTAGCCATGAAATATTTTCCGTCCGAAATTTCCGTCGCTAATTTTGTGGCTAAAATTTTATAATTAAAATTATTTAATTTTTTTATATAGAATAATCTATTAGATTTTATTATGGTATCTATTTTCTGAAAAAATTATTTACATTCAAAATTAGTGTTATTGGAAATTAATATTATATTAAAAATATTTTTTTAAAAAAATAAAACATTATAAAATAAATAGTAAAACAAATATCTAAAAATTTTTTGTCACAAAAATAGTTATGATTAAAATTATCATATAGTTTATTTTTAGTTCTAATAATATATATGTGTATATATAATTGTTTGTGTAAGGGAATATTATACATATTTAATTTTGCATAATAAGTCAGCAAGTTCATTGCAGCTCAACTGGTAAAACCGTGTGCACACACAAACGAGGTCCTTGGTTCAAGTCGTGGAAAAGTCACTTTGGAGAGGATTATATGGTAGCAACATGTGGCGATACACGGTGGCATTTGAGATGGTGACACATGGTTGCGGAGGTGAGATGGCATTGACATGTGGAGATGAGGTGGCAACACATGGTGGAGGAGGTGAGCTGGCAGTTGGTAGAGGTGACACATGGCATTTTAATTTTTTTAAAAAACATATTAATTACCAACGGAAATTCCGTCAGCAATTAGAGATGGAAAAATTCCATCAGTAATTAGAGATAGAAAAATTCTATCGGTAATTAGCGATGAAACAGTTCCGTCGCTAATATGATTTCGTCGCTAATTCATCACTAATCCATTGCTAATTCTGTCACTAAATAAAAATTCCATGGCTAAATTCTGTCGCTAATCACATGTTTTTTGGTAGTGTGTCCTTTCTATGATATTTAAGTTTTTGAATTGATCTGGTTCCTATTATAAGATTCACTACTATACATATATGATTGAAACTTCTGTTCAAATTTTTCTTTCCAAAGGGATATCCTGCTGGCAGTTTGGGACAAGATCAATGATGCATGAATGCATTTGATAGAGTTGAGATGATAACAAAACCTCATACATAATTCATAACGATTCTACTAAAAATGAAAACTTTAGTTCATTCATGAAGGATTCATGGAAAGAACAAAAATTTGGGCCATCCATAAATAATGGATGAAAAATTGGGCCTAAAGAATACAAGCAAATGAACAAAACTTTTATCCATTCATAAATATTGCTAAAAATTGAGTAAGCAGCTGACAGCAGCTGAAGTGGTGTTAAAAGAAATTTTAATTCATTCATGAAGGATTAACAAAAAGAAAAAAGAGAGCTCTTCAACAAAACTAAGTAGAATGTCCATCTAAATGAAGTTGTTCAAACTTTCTTAACTCTAAAAGCAAAATACACCACAAAACATGAAATACACACACACACACATCGTTACAATCCAAAGCAATCTGTTACTTACAATTATTAAATATACCAACTCCATATAGCGAAGAAGTGTCATAAGAGCTATCCACTAATTCATATGACAATGTTGAAAGTGGATAGTTTTTGCTTAATTGCAAGCAACTCTGCTAAAACATCTTTGATATCCATTCTTTCACCAGGCAATCCTGCACAACATGCCACACCAATCCCAGCAAAGCTAGCTAGAGACTCTTGAATTTGGCGTTCAATATTTGAATTCCGCATAACTTTCCTATGGTCTCTATCATATAGAACAAGCAAATTTGGATCCAGAATCTCAAGGACTCCATCCGGTAATGCTAGCTTGCAGAATTTGGGTAGACTTAGATCCTCATGAAACATTTTATCCGTTGGCTTCTTTCCAGTGAGCATCTCTAGCATAAGAATCCCATAGCTGTAGATATCCCCTTTTGTTGTAACTTGGCCTCCTTCACCGTACTCTAACCAAGCATTAATATTCTTTAGAGAATATAAAAGTCCTTGTAATAGTTGAAGTAATTTTTAGGTAAAAATAGACCCTCTTAAAAACTTTTTACTGATATACAAAATTTTTAGTTAGTCTTGAAGTTTAGCACACTCAGGATGTAGTTTCTATTAATTAATGATTACTAGAAAATAAATAAAGTTCATATTGGAGAATATAAAAACAACAACATATGAAGAGTCATACCTGGAGGAATATAGCCTATTGTTCCCTTAATTACTGAAGATGTAGTTTGGTTCTCACCAGAGCAGCTTGTAACTTCATGAAGAAGCCTAGCCAATCCAAAGTCTCCTAAGTGTGCGACCATATCATCACTAAGAAGAACATTACTTGGCTTGATATCACAATGAACAATAGGTTCCTCAAAACCATGATGAAGATAATCCAAGGCATGGGCCACATCAATAGCTACATCCAATCTTTGTCTAAAATTCATATATAAATCTCTATGTTCACCTGGTTCATTCGCTGACAGCCAATTCTCCAAGCTCCCGTTAGGCATGAACTCAAATACAAGGGCCTTAAAATCATTGCCTTTGTAATCAACACTTGAACATGTAGTTAGAATCTTCAAGAGATTCCTATGTCGGACTTTACTCAGAGTTTTGCATTCTGTGATGAAACTCTTTGTTGCCCCATGTGCTTGAAGATTTAGCACCTTCACAACAATTAAACATTCAAAGTGCTGAAGAGTTCCTTTATATACAGAACCAAAGCTTCCTACACCAACCAAATTGGATGATGAAAATCCATTAGTTGCATCATGCAGCTCTTTATAAGTAACCCTCAAATGAGCATTTTGTGGGGAAGACGTGGAAGAAGAGAACCTTTTATGTTTGCTTCTCTTGCAAATGATTAAGCAAATTGCAAAACTGGTAAGAGCACCAATGCTTATTACAATGATAAGGATTATAACTTTGAAATGCTTCTTCGACTTACTTGGGCATTTAGGCAGCTTTAATTGAGGTATTCCACTGCAAAGCTTCTCATTTCCTGCTAGTGAAATAGCTGTGATATTATCAAATACTCCTCCTTTTGGAACCTCACCATAAAAATGGTTGTGGGATAGGTTCAAAGTCTCCAATATTGGAAAATCTTTTAGTTGTCGTGGGATTGTGCCTGACAAGTTATTGTTGGAAAGGTCTAAGTTGATGAGGGATTTTAAGAAAGTGAAGGATGAGGGTATACTTCCATGAAGGAAGTTCCCGCTCATATCAAGATCTGTCAATTCTAAGCATTCCCCAAGTTCTGTTGGAATATCACCAGAAAAATTGTTTTCACTCATATATAATCCCACTAATTGCTTCATGTTACCAATCACAGATGGAATGGGGCCAATTAAGGAATTGGAAGACATGTTAAGATATATTAAGCTTTCTAGATGACCAAAAGTTAGATTTGGTATGGTGCCGCTTAAGTTATTTTGTTGCATGTACAGGAATTGCAAACCTTTACAATGTTTGAGGCTTACTGGGATTGTTCCCTCAAAATTATTGTCGAAAAATGTAAGGATAATCAACTTAGTAAGATTTTCAAAGATATCAGGAATTCTACCAGATAACTGATTTGTTTCTAGGTATAGCTTTCCAAGATTTTCAAGCTTTCCAACTGAATGTGGAAATGTGCCTTGAAGAAAGTTTTGTTGCAAAGCAAGGACAATCAATCCTTTTAATTGCCCAATCTCATTAGGTATGCTTCCAGTGATACGATTGACTCCCATACCAAGCCATTCAAGGTGGGAAGAGAAATTCCCAATTGAATTTGGCAATTCACTGCTAAATTTATTATTGAACATATCTATTACACGCAGTTGACTACAATTTGTTAAGGATGAGAGGAAATCCAGGTCATCACCTTCCTTCCTCCCAAAATTATTACTGAAAATCAAAAATATATGTAGTTTCTGTAGTCTTCCCAAAGAGGTAGGGATTAGGCCGCTGAAAGCATTTTCATATACTGAAAAAAATTCCAACTGAGAGATGTTGGATAATGAAGCTGGAATAGTTCCCATCAACTTGTTGCCTCCCACATTAAAATGTTGAAGATTTGGGAAAGAAAGACCAATATTTGTTGGAATAGTTCCATAAAAGTGGTTGTACCCCAAATTGAAATATTCCAGGCGAGAAAGATTATAAAATGAAGAAGGGATGACATCGGAAAGATTGTTGCCGATAAGAGTGAGAAGGTATAAATTTGACAACCCTCCTAGAGATTGAGGTATATTTCCTTCCAAACTATTAGATTCAAGAGACAAACTCTCCAAGGATGAAAGATTCCCCAAGGAACTTGGTATTGTGCCGTGAAATTCATTAACACCAAGATTCAAAATTGTTAGTTGTGGCATAGATCCAAACCAGAAGGGAATTTTGGCGGTCAAATTATTGTAACCGAAGAAAATTTGTTCGAGTTTAGAACAGTTGGCCAGCTCTGCAGGGACTTCTCCCTCAAGATGATTTTTACTCAAATCAAGAAATTGTAGTCGTCTTAGATGGCCAATTTGTTTGGGAACTTGACCATGCAATTCATTATACGAAAGATTGAGCAGTTTAAGAAATGTTAAATTACCTAATATTGGCGCAATAGTACCTCCAAAATTTTGATTTGTCAAGTTCAAAGCTGAGACTCTCATGTGACGGGGACTGCATGTAACGCCTTGCCATTTGCAGAAAAGGATAGAATCATTCCATGAAGGTAGAGCTTCTGGAGCACAATTGGTGAACTTATCTTTGAGAGAAAGCAAAGCAACCCTATCACTCTCTGAGCCAGTGGCCATGGCAGCTGTAGTTGGCAACACAACTTGAGAAGCTATGCATAACAGAAAATTGGTGGTAATAATGTAGGGGATCATTTTGATTGTGGCGAAGGAATTTGCAAAATGAAGCCACATGCTCAACAACTAGGCATGCGGTGATAGCTTTACTCTAGTTGCTAATAATGTATGCACATAATTGACAGGGGAAGAGAGCACGGTAGCGTATCTGATGAATAATGGAGAAAGAAAGAAGTTCAAGGAGCTTGCAATTTTGGGCAAAGCACTTACATTATTATAATAAATAATTAAAGTTTAGGAGGACATATTACAGTAGTCAGAAGACTCGGAGATTCTATGTGGACCAAGATAGAGGTAAGAGTAAAGACTGGGCAATTTTGATTGGAGAATGTTATTATTAATCGGTGACCATATTATAATATCTACGTTATTTTATTAAACTCTTTTCAATTGTTTAATCAGTTAATTTTAGATTGCGTTTGGTAGGAAGCATTGAAAATGAGGGATTGAGATTGGGATTATAATTGAAAAAATTTATCAAGAGAGTATTTAGTATAAGAGATTATTTGATATATGGGATTAGCTAAAGCCATATATGTGGGATTGGAGAATACCATGAGGGGAAGTGGTATTCCCCAATCTCACCTTTATGGGTTTCCCTAATCCCATATAACAAACAATTGCTCATGCTACGTACTATTTTAATAATTTTTTTCAATTGTAATCCCAATTCCAATCCTTCATTTTTAATGCTTCGTACCAAACGAGACCTTAATATTGTGCTGTATTTGAAATAAATTAGTAACCTGTTTCAGATAAAAATTGAGCACAGTTGATAAAATATTTTGTTATTTTTTTATTATTTTGTTAAATTTTCAATTCAACCATCATGTGATAAAGATTTATTGTTAAATCTTTATATTTTGCGTAATTCATAGTTGATATTTAGCCCTTGTCATATTTATTATGCAAATTTAAATTTGAGTTAATTTAATTTCATTACTTGCATAAAATAAGTTAATAAATATTCACAATATTTTGATAAATAAAGGGACTAAAAAATCGTAGATATTACAATTTAATTTTATATTTCCAATCAATCAAACATAAGAAATTTATAATTTAATTCCTAAAACACTCCCTAACCATTTCCATTGGTGAAGGAAACTACAAGATGAACCGACTCGTTGGCGGCTAGATCTCTAAAATATCCAAGCCAAGGGATTTAAACTTTCTTCTTAGAAAATGGGCTAGCTATATTTGAATTTAAGCAAAGCATTTCCATTTTTTTATAATAAATAATTAAAAATAGGAGTACATATTATAATATTCACAAGACTTTCGAAAATTTTTTGTGCAACGAGATAGAGAGAACATAGAGTAAAGACTGGGCAATTTTGATAGGGGAATGATAACTGCTGACCATATATTTGAAAATGAATACAGAATGGAAACTTTTAAATTATAAAATAACAATTTAAGTAGTGAATGAACTTAGGATGTGGTTTGTCATTTAAGTTTTCAGTCTTCATCATGGATGTACTTTTAAATTAAATGAACTTTATATTATTAATTAAAAATCTTATAGTTTTAAGAAAAACACTCAAATTTTAACTTTTTTTAAAAATGATATTCAAAAGAAAATTAAATAACATTGTACGGCCACAAATATTATGTTTTATAATAAATGATTAAAATTTCTTAGCACATGGTATAAATCCCTACACTTTTCTCTTCTTTATTTTTTTTTTTTGACCAGGGAATCACTAGACTTTTGAGAAATTTATGGCGGATATAAAAGAGTAAGGACTGGGCAAACTATGAAATAGTATGGTCTCCGCGCTTGGAAGTCTTGGTCCATGTGGGACCCACATCGATCATTGTGACTTGCGAGTTGTGAGGCGAGGGGAGGTCGTTGATGTGAACGTATCCCACGATTATGATGCCCTTGTCCCTCACGTACGTCCCTGTTGACTAATGTGTGTATATAATAATAATGTATACAGGTTCATTAATGCGCAGGTTCTTATAATTTTAATGAATTTAAAATCAGGTTTTAATAGTTTTTTATTAGGTTTTTATATTTTCATCTATTTTTAATTAGGTCTTTACATTTATTTTTATTTTTATCAAGTCTTTATAATTTTACTAAATTTTTAATCACGTCCTCGTAGTTTTAATTTTTATTTATTAATTAAACAAAAACCTAATTAAATAGAGTAATATTGAAATACAAAATATTAATAATTAAATTAAATTAATAATTATATAATAAAAAATCGGTAATATAATTAATTAATTCAGGAAAATTTTTTAGAATAATTAATTTATTTCACTGAAAAAGATAAAATTATTATAATAAATCATTATTCCTCGAATATTATTGTTTATAAACTAATATTAAATAATATATACTATTTATGTTTATAAAATAGTACTACTAGAATTTATAAAATAAAGAATAAAAAATTCAGAGACTTAATTAAAAATAAGGTGAACTATAAGGACTTGATAACAAAAAATAAATATGCAAGGACCTAATTAAAAACAGGTGAAAGTATAAGGACTTGATAAAAAGAAAAACAATTATAGGGACCTAATTTAAAATTAGTTGAAACTATAAGGACTTACAGATTAATTATCCCTAATATATACATACTCCGATCTTATGTATAAGCGTTAGTTGATTAATTTATGTAAACTAAGAAAATTTGTTAAGTTAGTTACTTGTAATAAATATATCTTGTCTTCTCTAAAATACCACTGCTAATTATGTGTATTGGCTAGAATTACTATTTAATAAAATATCTAACATGCACAACTACTACAAGAACTACCTTAGGAAAAATGGATAAATATGAGAGACAAAGTGAATTAAAGTCTTATGTTTAAGACCAAATTAAAAATTATACTAACCCTCATATTAAGAAATGAAGGTAGTATGTCCGCGTGTGTATGTTTGTGTTTGTGTGTGTATATAAAGCATTTACATCTTTGTAATTTCATGAAAGTTTTATGAAGCTTTGGAGCATGTTATGATTTCATATACTACATCAATGGCCTCTATTTCTTATGATATGTGTGTGTGTGTGTGTGAACAAACTTATAACTCAATTGATATCACGTACCTTTCCTTTAAGGCTTTCTTAAGTGTGAGATTTCGAACTCTCTATGGAAGGTACAGCGGATGCACGAGCTATGGTTAAAAATTGTAGCCTGATGTTGTTAAATAGATGAAAGCTCAAATCTTTAATTTGCTTGGAATTGTGTGTTGCCTTATACAAACACTTACCGTATCCAAATACAATTCTGTTTAATTAATTAAGCTCTAGGATGACAAAGGAAAGAATTCTCTTCCATTTTTTAATTCAAACATAAACAAAGAAAGTCTATTCTATTCTATCCCCCCATCCTTTCTTTTCAATTACTTAACATTGGTCTTTTATCGGAATGTTTGCTAATATTCTTGTCATGAAAATTATAACCAACTTAGCTAATTTTCTAATATTTACAGATAACTCTTGAACTCCTTTCAGCAGATATTTTCCTCTCATGCTCACACATGCATGGGCAAGCCTTCCCAAACATTAGTCAGGACCATAATAATACTATCTCCAGTCTTAATTATAAAAGCTAGTTGATTAATTTGAAAAAATTAAGGAAAAAAGTTAAGTTAGTTATTTGTAATAAATATGTATTTTCTTTCTTAAAATATCCTTGCTAATTAAATGTATTGGCTAGAACTACTATTGTTAAAAGGACTACATTAGAAAAAATACATAAATTATAAGAGACAAAGTGGATTGGGGTTTCGTATTTAGGACCAAAATAAAAGTCTAATAAGGTTTTATATTAAGAACTGGAGGTAGTATTTCGCATTTGCCCAGTCTTTACTCTTCCTTCAGACTCAGATTTTCCTCACAATGGTTGTCTCGGAGACTTGCAATCTCTACCTTGAAAAAAATCTAAACGAAGATGCCTAGTGTCTATCACTCTATTATTATTTATAAGTCTCTTGTAAAAAAAATTTGTACATAAATATAAGTTACTTGTAAGATAATTAATGAGTTTTCTTTTTAGTTTTACATTGTTGATTTAATAAATGGAGAGAAAGATAAAGTAAATAACTGAGAAAAAATAAAGAATATATTTTAAATGCATCTCTTTAATAAGGGTAAATGTGAAAAAAAAATTATCAATTTATAATTTTAAAATACAAGTGATTTATAAATAGGAATATAGAGTAATTTTTTTTTTGAACCAGAGGAATATAGCGGCATTAACTCGCCTGCAAGAGCGCCCCACTTCCAAGATTCAACTGTTGGACCGTAACGCGTTTGAGAGTTTTATCCATTCAACCTCGTCATGATTTATGAAACGCGTTGGGAAAATCAAACCTCATTGATTTGCTCTGTCATTAAATGGGTGTTTGGATAGAAACCAAACCATAGTTTCAGAAGTGTTTTTACGGATTAAGAAGTAAATATGTGGAGGAGATTATCTCGTTTTGCGGAAAAGTGATTTTGAAACCTAAATTTTGGTTTTGCCAAACACTCCCTAAGATGCCTTTGCTTTCATGTATTTATAAGTAAAATTGAATGCTTTGATTTTAAATGTAAAAATTTAATAGGCTTAATATCATTTTTGGCGCTAAAATCTAAAATACTAATTTGGGTTTACTTTATTATCTGTCATTTTGAAATGTAACGTGTCTAAATTGGAAAAATATTAATTTCGGAGTTTTTCTTAAAAGAATTTTTCCTTAATTCAATGCTTTTATATATTGATCAAAATTACGGAAAATGGCAGTAAAAAACCGTCAAAACAGAAAAATTGTAAATAAAGACCCATGACAACATTAATATAGGTTTTGATAACAATTTTTACAAATCGGTCCCTGTGTGTAATTTTTCTATTTCAGAGGTCTTCTTTTGTCATTTTTTCTTAAAATCATCAACTCCGACTTATTCATAATATAAGTTACTTTGAGAACAATGACTTGATCCAAAATATAAGTCACTTAAAAAGTAATTAATACTATATTTGTCACTTTTCTCCTGACAATTAATACTAACTCCTTATAATTTTGTCTCTTCTTCCCAACCTTATTTAATATGAACAAAGTTGAAAAACATTTCAATTTGAAACATATTGAATGAATTAATTATCATTTTTTGATATTGATGAATTGATTAAAATGATTTATATTATGGATTGGTGGGAGTAGAAAAGTCCGCTGATAATTTCATTTCATTTTTTTTATCATGTTGCAGCATAAAATTTTAACCGTACTTTTCTTCTCTCTAGGCCAGCGTATCTTTGAAGTGACAAGTCACATTTAAATTATTATTTAAAAAAGACCACATGAGCCATGTCCTTACGCAAACATAGTAACACATTTTATATCTCGAATATTTTGATTGTTCATTAATTATCAATGAGCTTCCACCTAATTCGTCTCAGCATTCTGCAAATCAAATTAAGAATTCATAGAATATCATAACAACATTCAGTGCATTTTAAAAAGGGGAAAAAAACCAAGAAGAAGACTTGATAAAAGGCGTGGCACGCCACTAAATTTACTAATGCACGTATACCAATAACATATATTACTATAGCCAGTAGTGCTCATGTGGCATTAGCAACATGATGATGACAATGAATCCTTACGAAGGATTAATGAAGCTCTCTTATTTACTCATTACACAATACCACACCTCTAGACGTCTTTAACTAGACATGACTGCCATCTTTTGCTGTTGCCGGTGGTGGTGGTGACCAAGGTGGTATGTACGGCAAGTGTATGGGTGGTGCGTGGCAGCACAATGGCAAAATCGGGGAAGGTGAGAACCAAAATGGCAAGAAGGAGGAAGAAGAAGAAGGCCAATGGTGAAGCCGTGATGTTATGAGCTTTGTGATTGTGTTTGGCGCAGGCAAGGAGCAGAGTGAGATTGGTTTATATAAGCAAAAATGAGGAAGCCTTTGCCCATTAAAGTTCATTTTTGAAATATCAGAGGTTTGGTGCGGTTTGTACAAAATAGTCATTGGGTACATAATATAGAACTGATTAATTAATTTGAGTAAATTAATGAAATTAAATAAATTATTCAATTTTTATAAATAGAACATGATTTACTTAAAATATCCTATTTATAACATCAGATTATATATAAGTTTATAAATTAGATAAATTAGTTATGATACGAGCACCACTCATAGCGAGAAGATGTACACCCCTGAACCACAAATGAGCACAACCCATAGTAAATGTTTGTTGTGCTAAATTGGCAATGGAAAGCATAAGAGTAGAGAAAGATATTCTTGCTTATTTAATAAGCGAAAGTTGTTGGTAACTCTGGTTAGCTTTGGATAACTAGCCCATGCCATAACAAGACCATTTGTTACATCATCACATTAATTATTCTATTTCGTATGTTACAATATATATATATAAAATCTTCAGTGGGGTTCAGCAAACAAACATATATTCTACCATATATATATATATATATATATATATATATGACCATTCGAATAACTTTATAATCTACTAGGGTTATGAATTAGTGCCTACATTTGAATGGGTTACCCAAAAAATGTTGTCTTCCTAAAAGCATTATAGTACGGTGTTAGTTCACATGCCACACATCTGGACTACACAGTTACTGCTTGACTTTTAGCCAAGATGATTAGTTGGCAATGTTTGGAATGGAATCTGTTTAGGTCCCCTCTAATTAGTTCTATACAGTCCAAATTTAATTTTTTTAAATAACAAAAATAATTTTTTAAAAAAGTAATAATTAAGATATGATTTTTATTTTAGATTTTATACCCTTAAATAATTATTTTAAAACATAAAAATAAAAAAATAAATCTAGATCGTTCATGTTAGATTTGGGTGTTCATCTCTAAGATGAGTACGACCCAGGCTGGTTTCGTTTGGAATATATGGTTATAATAATTCAAGAAATTTTTATTGAGAGAAGGATATTCATTCCAAAAACGGAAAATTACATGAAGTAAGTCATGTCTGAGGGTAGCAATGGAATCATAGGGTGGCCTCTAACAAACGTCAAACCTAGCTACATTCAAATGCCAAAAGTTTCCTTGGCCTTTAGCATAACAATGAAATTATAACAACGTTATTGATTTATATGAAAATAAATAATAATTTATATGCACTAATTAATTTTTCGCATGTTTAAAATACGTAATGTTTGACTAATTAAGCGATTTAGGGGTAAAATTAATATGGTGAAGTATAAAATTAAAAGTAAATATATTTTTATAGGTGCGAGAATATAAGAGTAGAAAATATATTTTTAAACTGGTCCTTTTTATAATATTTAAATTTTTTGAATTGATCCAGTTCCTGTTATAAGATTCACAGCTATACATATATGATTGAAACTTTTGTTCAAATTTTCCTTTCCAAACGGGTATACTGCTGGGGTCTGGGACAAAATCAGTAATGGATGAATGCATTTGATAGAGTTGAGATAATAACAAAACATCATATATAATTCACAATGATTATGATAAAAACAAAAACTTTAGTTCATACATGAAGGATTCATGGAAGGAACAAAAATTTGGGCCATCCATAAATGAATACAAGCAAATGAACAAAAATTTTATCCATCCATAAATATTGCTAAAAATTGAGTAAGTGGCTAAGAACAGTAGAAGTGGCGTTGAAAGACACTTTAATTCATTCATGAAGGATTCACGAAAAGAAAAAAGAGAACTCTTCAACAAAACAAATCAGAATGTCCATCTAAATGAAGTTGTTCAAACTTTCTGAACTCTAAAAGTAATATACACCACAAAACATGAAATACACACACACATACACATATATGTAGTTACAATCCAAAGCAAGCTATTACTTACAATTATTACATATACCAACTCCAAATAGCAAAGAAGTGTCATAAGAGCTATCCACTAATTCATATGACAATGTTGAAAGTGGATAGTTTTTGCTTAATTGCAAGCAACTCTGCGAAAACATCTTTGATATCCATTCTTTCACCTGGCAATTCTGCACAGCATGCCACACCAATCCTAGCAAAGCTAGCCAGACACTCTTGAATGTTGCATTCCATATTTGAATTCTGCATAATTTTCCTATGGTCTCTATCAGATAGAACAAGCAAATTTGGATCCATAATCTGAAAGATTCTATCAGGTAACGCTAGCATGCAGAATTTGGATAGGCTTAGATCCTCACGAAACATGCTATATGTCGGCTTCTTTCCAGTGAGCATCTCAAGCATAAGAATCCCATAGCTGTAGATATCCCCTTTTGTTGTAACTTGGACACTTTCTCCATACTCTAACCAAACATTAATATCTTTATTGAAAATATCAAATTCCATAATAAGTAAAGTTACTTTTTAGGTAGAAATGGGCATTTAAAAAAAAACAGAAATTTTACTGATATAAAAATGTTTAGTTAGTCTTGAAGTTGACCATACTCAAGATTTAGTTTCTATTAATTAATCATTGCTAGAAAACAAATCAAGTTCATATTGAACAACACAAAAACAACCACATAAGAAGGAGTTATACCTAGAGGAATATAGCCAATTGTTCCCTTAATTGCCGAAGATGTAGTTTGGCCCACACTAGAGTAGCTTGTAACTTCATGAAGAAGCCTAGCTAATCCAAAGTCTCCTAAGTGTGCAACCATATCATCACTAAGAAGAACATTACTTGGCTTGATCTCACAATGAACGATAGTTTCCTCAAAACCATGATGAAGATAATCCAAAGCATGAGCCACATATATGGCTACATCCAATCTTTGTTCGAAATTCAAATGTAGATCTCTAGGTTCATCAAGTTCATTCGCCAACAACCAATTCTCCAAGCTCCCGTTAGGCATGAACTCATAAACAAGGGCCTTAAAATCATTGCCATTGTAATCAACGCTTGAACATGAAGTCAGAATCTTCAAAAGATTCCTATGCCGGACATTACTAAGAGTCTTGCATTCTGTGATGAAACTCTTTGATGCCCCATGTGCTTGAAGATTGAGCACCTTCACGGCAATAAAACCTTCAAAGTGCCGAAGAGTTCCTTTATATACAGAACCAAAGCTTCCTACACCAACCAAATTGGATGAAGAAAATCCATTGGTTGCATCATGCAGCTCTTATAAGAAACCCTCACATGAGCATTTTGTGAGGAAGAAGGGAAGGAAGACAACTTTTTATGTTTTCTTCTCTTGAAAATGATGAGGCAAATTGCAACACAAGTAAGAGCACTGCTTATCACAATGATAAGTATTATAACTTTGAAAGGCTTCTTTGACTTACTTGGGCATGTAGGTAGCTTTAGTTGAGGTATACCACCACAGAGATCCTCGTTTCCCGTGAGTGAAATAGCTGTGATATTATCAAACGCTCCTCCTTTTGGAACCTCACCATAAAAATGGTTGTGAGATAGGTTCAAAGTCTTCAATATTGGAAGATCTTTTAGTTGTTGTGGGATTGTGCCTGACAAGTTATTGTTGGAAAGGTCTAAGTTGACGAGGGATTTCAAGGAACTGAATGATGAGGGGATAGTTCCATGAAGGAAGTTCCCACTCATATCAAGATCCGTCACTTGTATGCATTTTCCAAGTTCCATTGGAATATCACCAGAAAAACTATTTTCACTCAGACGTAATTCCACTAATTGCTTCATGTTACCAATCTCAGATGGAATGGGACCAATCAAGGAATTGGAAGACAAGTCAAGATGAATTATGCTTTCTAATTGACCAAATGTTAGCTTTGGTATATTCCCGCTCAAGTTATTATGACTTATGTCCAAGAGTTGCATACCTTTGCAATATTTGAGGCTTATTGGAATAGTTCCCTCGAAATTATTTATAGACAACATAAGTGTAAACAACTTAGTAAGATTTCCAAAGATATCAGGAATCCTACCAGATAGTTGATTTCCTAATAGCAATAACTCCCCAAGATTTTCAAGCTTTCTAATTGAATGTGGAACTGTGCGTTGGAGGAAGTTATGTTCTAAACCAAGGGTGGTTAATCCATCTAGTTGCCCAATCTCATTAGGTATGCTTCCAGTGATACGATTGAATCCCATACTAAGCCATTCAAGCTAGGAAGAGAGATTCCCAATTGAATTTGGCAATACACCGCTAAATCTATTATGTAGCATCTCTATTTCTTGCAATTGACTACAATTTGTTAATGATGAAAGGAAATCTAGATCATGACCTTCTTCACTCCCAAAATTATTTGTCAATCTCAAATTTATGAAGCTTTTGTAGTCTTCCCAAAGAGGTGGGAACTAAACCCCTAAAAGCATTTTCATATATTGCAAATATTTGCATTTGAGAGAAGTTGGATAATGAAGCTGGAATAGTTCCCATCAACAAGTTGTGTCCCGCATAAAAATATCGAAGATTTGGAAACGCAGGGCCAATATTTGACGGAATAGGTCCAGAAAAGTGGTTGTAATCAATACTTAATTCTTCCATGCGAGAAAGATTATAAAGTGAAAAAGGGATTATACCAGAAAGATTGTTTCTACCAAGATAGAGCTTGTGTAAATTTGAAAGCCCACCGAGAGGTTGAGGTATACTTCCGTCCAAATGATTACGTGCAAGAGACAAATGCTCCAATGATGAAAGATTTCCCAAGGAAGGTGGTATTATGCCATGAAATTCATTAGCACCAAGACTCAACGTTGTAATTTGCTGCATAGATCCGAACCAGAAGGGAATTTCGCTGGTCAAATTATTGTTAGTGAAGTGAATTTGCTGGAATTCGAAACAATTCGCCAACTCTACAGGGACTTCTCCCTCGAGGTAATTTTTTTCTCAAATACAGATATTGCAGTTGTCTAAGACGGCTAATCTGTTTGAGAATTTGACCATGCAATCCATTATACGAAAGATTGAGCAGTTTGAGAAAGGTAAAGTTACCTAATGCTGGTGCAATAGTGCCCTCCAGATTTTGATTTGTCAAGTTCAAAGCTGAGACTCTCATGTGACGGAGACTGCACGTAATGCCTTGCCATTTGCAGAAGTATACGGAATCATTCCATGAAGACAGAGCTTCTGGGTTGCCATCTGTTAACTTATCTTTGAGAGCAAGAAAAGCAAGCCTATTAGTCTCTGACCCAGTGGCCATGGCATCTCCAATTGGCAATAGAATTTAAGAAGCTATGCATAGCAAGAAACTAATGGTAATAATGTAGGGGATCATTTTGATTGTAGCAAAGGAATCTACAAAATGAAGCCGCATGCTCAATAACTAGACATGCAGTGACAGCTTTATGCTGTCTCTGGCAATTATTATGAGATCTAATGTGCTGTTAAAATTGAAATACAAACTATCTTATACTCCCCCCATCCCATATTATAAGCAACATTAGAACTCATCACGTAAATCAAAATATTAGTTAAAATTAATTAAAGACAATAAATGTGTAAAAATTAAAAGTTTTTTTTAACTAAAATGCCCTTATTTACAGGAAGAGAGAATATAAGAGAGAGAATAAAGAAATTGTTATAATAAAAAGAATTATGAAAGAAAGAGAATGTGTAATAGAGAGATAATGATTTGGGAAATGAGATAATAAATATGTTGAGTATTAAAATAAGTAATTAATGAGAACAAAATGAGAAATTTGCTACAAAATTTAAGATAACTTGTAAATGTTATTTATATTTAAAAACAAAAAACATAATAGTTATCAATATATCTTTTAATACTATTCCACTCAAGCCACGGCTCAAATGGCTTATTCTTTAGCTTCAGACTCATTTTACTGTTCATAACGAATTTTTGGCTTACTAATATCCTATCGGGCTCTGTGTCATATGGCTTGTATAAATGGCTGCATGCAAAGATTATATTTTGAATTTCAAATCCCGCCTCACTTCTTATATTTTGAAATTTGAATCTTCCCCATTTATGAATCCTGTCAACACTGTCTTGTCCTTTATATTTCTTCAGCATCACACATTCTCTCTTTCTCGTACGGCTCACTTCTCAACTCCTCCCATATCCTCTTTCTCAACCTCCAACCGTCAATTTCTTTTTCAAACCGCCTCATTCATATTTTCTTCGTTGGTCTCTTCTTCTTCAGTCTACGTCTTTACTAATGAGGAGCTAAACACTGAAGATGGCGAGGAGATCTGGCGACCACGACAACAACGGAGAGGCATTGATGAGAATGGCGATGACACTGGGGAAGCAGAGATGAGGAGATCATGGCTATAGGAAGGTGAGTGACAGAAGTGAGGGCTACACATTGGTCCTCGCCCTCTCTATTCCATCGCATTCTTCTTTTTCATTTCTCAGTAAGGATGGTAGGGAGATCTAGCAGCCTTGGCGACGACGAAGAAGCCATGATCACGATGGCCATGATAGTTGGGAGGCAGAGATGAGAGGAATCGGCGGTGATTCTTTTTAGGCAAGATGCGACAGTAGAGAGCAATCACTAAGGATATGACGGATAAAGTCAGCTTGCAGTGCTTTTGGCTTCTTTCTTTGATGATTATTTTTCCTCTTCTTCTTACATTATATCTTGACCTTCATACCCGTAGCATTTGCCTTCAGGTTCGTTTGAAAAAGGATGGTGGATGTTTCCACTTCATGACCTTCCCCCTTCTTTTTCACGAGTATGGAGATTAAAGAGGGTAGCGAATCTACGATTGTACATTTATATTGTAATCCTCTATCTCCATTTTATATTTCCTCATTTCAGCAATATTTTAGCTATCGTGTTTTCTCATGCTGCCAAAATTTCATCTTTTTCCCAACCAGATTCAGTGTTGTGGCTACCAACTCTCTCTAGGTTCTCCATCCTTGAACATGTTATCAGTAGGATCAAGGGACATAGCAGAGAGAGGGAGATGTATGAAATGTTTGCAAGTGAATGAGGATCACTGTCAAAGAAAGGAAGACAAAATGCTTCTACTTCATGTCAACAATTATGGTCCCACAGACTAGACCTTCATTCGATCCAAGGGCCTTCTTCAATGCAAGTGCAAGTGTTGTTATCTTTTCCAAGTCAAGAAGCTTTGTCCAAACCTCCAGAAGTATTTCTCATTCCTCTTCTCATTTTACCTGTTTTTGTTGATTTGGCATTTGAAACAATATATCAAAAATAATTGATGGGGTTTTTCTATATTCTCTGTCCAATTGTAAGGATCTACGCAAAAGACGAAATCAATTCACATAGGTGAAAGAAAGACAGAGCACGTCATTTTCCAGAAAAAATGAAATTGAATAACGTGCGTGTGTGGGGACCTTTTAAACATGTATTTCTCTTCCACCCAAGAGGGGCATCCTGTTGCAAATGAAAATCAAAGTCAAATGTAAACCTTGTACTTTATACGTTGTGCTATGGAAGTCCAACTATTAATTTCATCTATATCTATAGAATATTTTTGATACTATTAACCAACCATGTATATGTCTGCAGAACTTCCCGAGCCACGAAATGCAAAGGATGCGCCAAAGTCTTTTATTATTTAGCATTTGAATGTTTTTTTTTACTTTTTGTGATGATCAACATAATATACTTTGAAATGTTGATTCACATTTAAGATTTAGTGCGATGGTTCATGGAATAAGACGGGATAGGATGTCAAGTAGTAAAAAGGTTCATGGGGGTGGATTTTTCAATCAGTTGACATACTGCACATTGGAAGATGTTAGATGTTGTGCGGATTTTTGGACGCGTACTCTGACCTTTGCTTAGAATGCATAATATGGACCGTGGTGGTTTATCCTATGAATAATTAAATTCTAAACTAATGACTTGTAAGTGCTACAGAGCTTCGTATGTAGATAACTTTCGGTAATGCAAAATTGCCCGGCAAAAGTGCGGTGCAGGCTGTAAAATTTGTCTATAATGAAACCGGTCAAAACTTCTGAAAAAGTTAACTTGACAAGGAAAATCTATTCATCCTTTATCACAAGGAAAAGTCCAAGAGCTGCAAGTCAAAAGTTTAAAATTACATATGACAAGAGAGTTATTCACTTAACCTTTATTCCCTTAATTCCACTCAATTGCCGGATCAATTTGAAAGTGCGAAACATATCTCTGCTATAAAATATAGACAATGAAAAGATCATTTGCCAAGACATCCGATTAGGGCATACAATTATAAGTGAAGCTAATGATTACTTCAGATATGGAAATGAGATATTAACTCCTCGCTGTTACGGCCAAGTAGTACTTTAAGAATATTAATTTGCTCCCTTGATGTGGACACTAACAATGACAATGTTCATGTGTCAAATTTAATGAGTGAGATTTTTTCAAAGCTACAACTCACTAATGAAACAATCTATTTCTTTGTTACCAAGGCTTTTTTAAGACTATACAACTCGCCAAGGAAACCTTTGCGACAATTACTTCAAGCAACTCACTAACATGGCAACATGTATGGTTGCATATACATGAACATAATCATATGTGATCATATAAACATTGTTATTTTTAGTATAATAATAAATCATAATCAGATGCAGGATTTCTGCGCATAAAAAAACCTTCCATTAACAATAACAATGTTTATGTTCATAAAACTTCAACGTTTTCATGTTTAACATAAAACATAGAATATATAATATTAGTAGTGTAAGATTTCCATCTAAAAAAATAGAAGTTATGATCATGTTGGTTGTTTGTTGTTTGTAAGCATCTGGTCCTTCGGCTATATTATAGCTGTTGTCACTGAAGAAATAAAAGATTAATAGTGACAGTTGCGTGAGAGAAAAGCTGCATGGGTTGATTTTTCAGTTAAAAATCACAAGACCATATTTAAAACTAAGGAAAAACCATATTGAAGGTACCTATACTTTCTCTCAATTTTTAATTTGGTACCTATGTGTTTTTTTTCCTTTAATTATACATTTAATTTTATCTTTTTAGTAACATTAGCTATTATAACTTTGTTCTATTGATATTTTTAGTCTCTACATAAGGATTAATGATGTTAATAGAGGAAAAATAAAGATTTAGTTAAGAACAAAAAACACATAGGTACCAAATTGAAAATTGAAAAAAAGTATAGGTACCTCCAATATGGTTTTCCCTAAAACTAATGCTGCCATGTCAATTTAAGGACCCCCAACAACTTATTACCAAATGGATAAAAGGATGCTTACTTATGAAAACACTTTGTTGTCCAATGGTATAGGCAAATGCAAAGATAAAAGAATGCTTAGCTGCCGGAAGTCATGCAATCACGAAATCATTTTTTATATGTCGTAGTTTCCCTTCTTCTTTTTTTTTTGGCCAAAGTTTTAGTTTCCATGTGGACAATCGAGCATAACGTTATTTAGGCTAAGCATCCCTCATTTGTTTTTCCAAACATATTTCTTTTCCTAGAATCAGCTTATTTCCTGGAGTACAGACATACTTCAACTATGACTATCTCTCTCTCTATGTGGTTGCATTTTTATTCCATATTCAATTCATAGATGTAGCCTCTTCAATCAATATCCTGTAGTTTATCCAACAAAGTAATAAACTAACCTGCCATGAAAACACTAAGGTCATGTTTGATACTAGGTATTAAAGTTTAAGGGATTGGGAACGGAGTTGGGAATGGGAATGGGAATGGGCATGAAATTGGAGTTGGTATTAAGTTTTAATATTATGTTCGGCCTGGGACGGGATGTAGAAAAAATTAGGTAAGACCCAACTCAAACAAAAATTAGTAAAAGACATGATTTCGATTTTAGATAGTTCATACTGAATTTAAGTATTTTTATATATTTTAATTAACTTTTTGTTTTAATAGATATAGAATTTTAATTTTAAGTAAATACAATATCATAACTAAGATATCTTTAAAAAATAAATTTACCAGTAAAAAAATTATATATTTAAAATTTTAAATTTGAACCATCCATATTATATTTTCGATGGTTTAAATTGTATTATAGTGATAAGCAAATAGTATTTATTGTTATGATGAGTACTGAATAAAGACCATTAAATAGGTTGAAAATGGCATTTAATGACGCATGGTGATTCTGGTGACTTTCTTTATATCAAATAATAATATTAGTAAACAATAAATTAAGCACTATGAAAAGCATCTGGAAATTACGCATTTATTAGCTTTAGGTATTTTCGTCATATGTTGTGGATTATAGGCCCAATAGATATTTTTTCCCCCCTTACTAAGTAATGATATTTATCCTAATTACAATATCAGATATTTTCATCAATACTTTAAAGCATCGTGGTGGGACGTGGTTAGAGAGGGGGGCAAAAAAAACAGAGAGCCAAATACCAATTTAATCTATTGGGAGATACTTAGAGAATTGCAAATAAAATGCTCTCCAAATGTTAAGTGGAAGCATCGCCATAAAATAAAAGCTTGAACCGCACGATAGTACAAGAGAGAGGGATCTCAGTTTTTTCAATAGCAGTCCTATGTTTTTTCAATGGTTGTAGCGTTAACACTTCGATTTTCTTTTTTTTTCAAGTGTAAAGAGACATTATTTTGGATGAGGTTCTCATTTAAAGTAATTGCTCCCCGTGCAACGCACGGGACAGCACCATCTAGTTAGTTATAAAATAAGACGCCAGAGTATTGAACACAGAAAGTAATTTGAATTATTAAAGGTATTGACAGCCAGACCTCATGGCTCCAAGGTCAAAAATGAGCCACGTACTATATGGACATGATTGACGGGGGAGGAGACCGTCTTGAATGCGCTAGGTACTGTACTGTTGACTTTGACACAATGAACAAAAAACCGGACCGGATACTAAATCGGTCTAGCTAGTGGGTTAAGGGTCAATGGGTCAGACCGGGGTCAAACCGGTCATATTAAAATAATATAATTTAATTGGCAATGACAAAATAAAAATAACATTCATCAATAATAACCATTCAACAAAATACAAAAAACAACCAAAGTGATTTAAACATTTAATTGTACTAAACTAACATTAACAAATATATATCTTCATCATTACAGAAAATCAAAATCATCATTAAATTCATTGGCAGGGTCAGGAATTGAGACATCAATAGTTGGAAGAGGAAAATTAGAAGGAGTAGCAACATCATCTTGCAGAGGTGAAGGTTCAACAATATTCATATCATCATCACCACCTAAATAAGACAATAATAAAGTGTCAATTAAATGTATGTAAATCAATATTAAAATAAAAAAAATTTATAAAGTTCGAAGAGACTAAGACAATAATACCTTCATTATCCCTCCCAGGAGTTGTCAAATTTGAAATGTCTTCATTGTTGACAACACTTTCAAATGTTGCCACATCTCCATCATCAAACTCTGGAACAGGATCTTCTTCAGTCACCCAAAAGTCCACCAAATCAATGTTTTCAAAGTCAATAGGATCATAGCTTGCCTTCTGCTTCTTCAATGTACTCCTGACAAATAAAATTTTAATTAGATGTAAATCCATATCAAAATAAAAATGTTCATAACTTATAAAATTACCTATACTTTAATCGCAAGTTATAGTTTGTGAAAACTAAATCATTTAGCCTTTTGTGCTCCAGTCTATTTCTTCTTTTTGTATGAATGCGTTCAAATAAACTCCAATTCCTTTCACAGCCAGAAGAAGAAGAAGTTTGACTAAGAATGCGCATCGCAACACGTTGCAATTCTGGCACTGAACATCCATAATATGTCCACCATTCATCTAAATCATGAAAATATGAAATATAAAATTAGTGAATGACCATAAATATACTATTAGCTATTAAATAAAACACTTACAAGGGTCAAGTTTCTTGGAATTAATTATTCCATTTCTTTTAGACAGAACTGAAATTATGTTCAAATCAAATAAGCAAATATATCATGGTTACGGAAGTCTATCCATCGCATATAGGCTTAAGGACATCGTGGCATAACCGTCAAGGCAAAGTATGGACCTAAATGATCGAATGGAATGATACATAGACAAGGAAATCTCTTATAAATTCCAGGGTACTCCTTTTTTTTTATTCAATTAAGAATTTTTTCAAGGGACAGTCTCAGGTAGACAGTTTCTATGGGGTGTAGGCCTCCCAAAAGGTAACGGAGGCGTGCAAAGGTTTCCTCGGGCCAGACGGAGATTGGCCCTCGAGTGCAAAGGCAGAAGGGAGCTTGACTGCAAGACCCACCCGTCGAGCAGGGACGAAAGTCGGCCTTAGTGATCCGACGGTGCCGAGTGGAAGGGCCGTCGCTGTGCTGCTTTTTGACATGATGGTCTACTGAAAGATTCTTTGGCTTCACGATAAGTAGTTGCTTGTTTCATTACCAAGAAGCCATCAACCTCTTCGTTTGAGTAAGACTCCATCACATCAATTAAAGCCATCATTAACTTTGACTTGATAGAGCAATCTGGAGCATATGTGATTGCAGGATTCAGCAAATATGATGCTGCATGAAGATTGGTCTTTAAATGCTTGTCCCATCGAGTTTGAATGATTGTTGTGTAGGGCTTATACAGCTCCTTGTTCTTCTTAAACATCTCCTTAATTGCCATTTTCGCCCTTCGCATGCCTTCATAAACATAAGGCAATGAAGGCTTCTCATCTGAATCAACAATTCTCAACAATTTTATGAGAGGAGATACAATTTTCACAACTTGATAACAATCATTCCAAAACCGATTGTCCAATATGATTGCACTAAAATTTTTTCCTACTTCAGTCCTTGATAATTTGTGGTCCACAAAGTGTTAATCAACAACTAAAGCTTGCAAGTCATTCTTGTGCATATATATGCTGTGCAATGTAATAAATGTGGTAGCAAACCTCGTGGCACCAGGACGCACAATTTCTTTCCAAGTTGGTCTTCTCCTCAACCACGATAAGAAAACCATATGATTATATGCAAATACAGTTATCTTTGATGCCTTTGATGCGAGGTCTGACACATGAGGCATGCTTGAAAAGTCTTTCAATACAAGATTCAAACAATGTGCAGCACAAGGTGACCAATAAATACTTTTATACTTCTCTTTAATCAATCTACCACATGCTACATAGTTAGCTGCATTGTCAGTCACCACATGAACAATATTTTTCGGACCAATCCACTCAATGACTTCACAAAATAGTGTGAATAGAGTTTTGGCATCTTTAACTAGATCTGATGCATCAACAGACTTCACAAATACCATACCATGTGTAGAATACACTAAGAAGTTTATCAAGGTACGCTGTCTAACATCAGTCCATCCATCAGCCATGAGTGTGCAACCATTGTTTTTCCATTTAGCACGATGGCTATCAATGAGTAATTGACATTCTTTTCTCCAGTCACTCAACAAGTTAGTTTTAAAATCATAAGCACTAGGAGCTTTAAACCCAGGCCCTATTGAAGCAATGCCATCCACAGCCTTTTGAAATAAAGGACAATCAAACGCCTTAAACGGAATGCAGTTTACAATAGCCCATTCAGCAATCAACATTTTCACATTATGCTTTGCTTCTTTAGTTGCTAATGCACTCTTAATGCCAGGTTGGGAATCAGGAGTTGTCCTAGGAGCAAAAAAATTGTCTATGCTCCCAGAAGCTTTCCTCTTCCTCACACTACTTGTGACATTTGGTGATTCAACATGAGTTTCTTCGACTTCCTCTTCTATGTTTTCAATAGTTTTCTTCTTTGACCCTTCTTTTAAAGACTCTGCCATTCTATAACGTACATCATGTGGAACTTTTTTACAAGCAGCTATTTGACCAACAGTGCCAGCAAGATGTTGCTTCATCCTATTTATCCCACCTCCTCTATAACTATTAGTACAAAAAAGACACGTATATATATTTTGTGTTCCTTCTTTTTTGTACGCAATATGTGCCCATGCTGGATCAGTTTTGGCACGTAATGAGGATGTGGGTGTGGAGGTTTCGGTAGGAGGATTTGAAGATCCAGTATTAGGAGTCATGTTGTCATTTCCAGAACTTTGGTTATTTGAAATATCCATCACTGCTACTCAAAAAACAAATCAAAAGCTTAACACAACATTAATCATTAAACAATCAAGTTATTTAGTTTCAGATTTCATATTGAACAAAGTGGGGAACCGTCCATAATTTTACAACCGTCCATAGTTTCAAATTTCACTACTTCATTATATACAATGAAATGACCACAATTTTAAACCAAACACGTTCACAATTTTGAAACCAAACAAGTAATTCTAAACTAGAGCATCAAATTATTTCAGAGTACCATTAATTTTCAGAATATCCGTTCCTCACGCATCAATTTTGGAATCCATTGATGAGTTCAGAGTCTTACTTTTCACACAATTGAAAATGAACTTCAGACAATTAATTCGGAAGCAGAATTCAGACAATGAACTTCAGACAATTAATTTTCACACACAGAATATCCATTCCTCACGCAGAAGCAGAATTCAAATTCGGAAATTCCAGAATGACAAAATCAAACCATAAAAATAATTATCAAACCAGAATGGCAGAGATTAATAGATTATCACCGTCACTTCCTCCAAGTTCGACTTTGCTGACTGGCCGAGAGCAGAGAATGAGAGTTCAAAATCAAAACTTCAAACGAAAATTGGGAGGCTGGACCTGGGAGAGATCGGCGAGCACTCAGCCGCTCACTAACAATTGGATCGGCGATGACAGGGCACCGACGGCGCGGGCAAGGCGACAAGCTTCAGGCGCGGGCAAGGCGAGGAGCTTCAGGCACGGCGACGGCAGGGCACCGAGCAGCTTCAGGCGAGGCAGGGGACGACGGTCGACGACACACCGAGAGTGAGGGCACAGAACCGTGTGCGAGCTTCAGCGAGCTGGGAGATTCAGTGAGCACACGTCGGCGAGATTCAGCGAGCTGCCGAGCTGGGACCGAGGACGCCGTAGCAAGCTGAGCACACGGCGGCTGCGAGGGCGACGAAGGACGAGATCGAGATTGCCAGAGACCGAATGAGGAAGAACCGAAGAACGACTGAAGGAGACGGGCGCTGGGTCGAGACTCGAGCGACTGAGCGAGGCTGCGGGAGTTCGAGCTGGTGTTTTGGAATCGCCGAACCGGTTTGCAAGTGTGTGTTTTTTTTTTTAAGAAACGGCGTCGTTTTCGGGCTCTGGAGGGGGCAAAAAGGTGAACTGGATAAACCCCCTAAACCGGCGGTTTACCCGGTTTAACACCGGTTCTTACCGGCTCAACCGGTTCACCACCGGTTCAAACCCTGGCCGGTTTTTTCCTTAACCCAGACCGGACATCAGGCCGGTTCACCGGTTGAACCGGCCGGTCCGGTCCGGTTTTTTTTTTCCATGCTTTGACAAGCTATGTCGCGTAGAGAATTAAAGACGATCGCACATGTGGATAACAAACCGGCAAAATGAAGCGACATCCCCAAAAGCTGCACATATCCGTTCACGGCTTTATCTCCGAAGTATCTAAGTCGACGTATTTAAATCTTTTTTTTTGTATTCTTAATATAAAACATAAATAACTAATTTAAAAAGACTAAAATTTTAGTTAACTGTATATAATAAATATATACTGACTTTTCTAAAGTATTTTATCTAATCATATATTTTGAAATCTTCTTAATAAAAATGTTTTATAATCAATAAAAATATTTTTTTTCTAAACATTATAAATTTAAAAGACAAAATAAATTAAAACCAATCAAACCTAACGTGTTCTTGCATTGAGATTAGGATTGGGCGTAGTAATGCCTAAATTTTGTAAGCAGTTGCGGGCTCGATCTCATAACTTTAAGGGTCCAAGTGTTTGAAAATATCAAGTATCATTTCATTCACAAATCAGCCTGAATATTTAATAAACATACTTTGAAAAAAAATCAATTGTCTATCTAAAGTCTAAACCTCGATTTTAGTCATTCTCACCTAAACCCTCCTATTTTTATCAAATTAATTGATTAAATAAAAATAGGATATTGATGCTCCAAACTTACGTCGCTGTTGACTAATATGCGGGTATAATGATGATGTATGTGTGTCCGTATCCGTGTGTGCATGTTCGTGTGCATATAAAGCATTCATTCACATCTTTGCAATTTCATGTAAGTTTGGAGCATTTTCTGATTTGTGATTAAAAAGTGAAGCTTGATGTTGTTAAATAGATGAAAGCTCAGATCTTTAATTTGCTCTGCATGGTGTGTTGCCTTGTGTAACCACTAACCATATCCAAATACAATTCTGTTCAATTAATTAAGCTCCAGGGTGACAAAGGTTCCATTTTTTAATTCCATCATAAAGAAAGAGAGTCTATTCTATCCTATCCTCCCCCCTCCCCCCAAAAAAATTCCCTTCAATTACTTGACATTGGTCTTTTATGGGAATGTCTGCTAATATTCCTTTCATAAAAATTATGACCAACTTAGCTAATCTTCTAATATTTACAGATAACTCTTGAACCCCTTTCAGCGGATATTTTCCTCTCATGTTCACACATGCATGGACAGCCTCCCAAACATTACTCAGGGCCATAATAATATTTCGTATTTGCCCAGTCTTTACCATTTTACTATTATATATAAGTCATTTGTAAAAAAATTTTTGTCTTAAATATAGATAATCAATGAGTTTTTTTTTTTCAGTTTTACCTTGTTGAATTAATAAATGGAGAGAAAGATAAAGTAAATAACTGATAAAAAATAGAAAATATATTTTAATGCATCTCTTTAATAAGGGCAAATGTGGAAAAAAATTATCAATTTAATAAATTTTTAATTTGCAGTTTTGGGATACAATTGATTTATAAATGGGAATATAGTGTAATTAATTTTTTAATTATACATCCAACCTCGTTATGATTTATCAAACGCGTTGGGAAAAAATAAAACCTCCTTGATTTGCTCTATCATTAAGATGCTTTTGCTTTCATGTATTTATAAGTAAAATTGAATGCTTTGATTTTAAATGTAAAAATTTAATAGGCTTAATATCATTTTTAGCACTTAAAATCTAAAATACTAATTTGGGTTTACTTCATTCTCTATCATTTTGACGTGTAAGGTGGCTAAATTGGAAAATAATAATTTCAAGATTTTTTTTTATAGAATTGTTCCTTAGTTCAATGCTTTTATGCATTGGTCAAAATTATCAGCTCCCACTTATTCATGATATAAGTTACCTCGAATACAATGACTTGATCCAAAATATAAATCACTTAAAAAGTAATTAATACTATATTTGTCACTTTTCTCCTGGCAATTAATACTAACTCCTTATAATTTTCTCTCTTCTTCCCAACCTTATTTAATATGAACAAAGTTGAAAAAAATTCAATTTGAAATATATTGAATGAATTAATTATCATTTCTTGATATTGATGAATTGATTAAAATGATTTATATTATGGACCGGAGGGACTAGAAAAATTGTCCACTGATAATTTCATTTTATTTTTTATCATGTTGCAGTATAAATTTTTTTTTTATTCATACTTTTCTTCTCTTTGGGACAGCATATCTTTGAAGTGACGAAGTCACATTTAAATTATTATTTAAGAAAGACCGCATGAGCCATGTACGTGCGCAAACATAGTAACACATTTCCATATCTTGAATATTTTGATTGTTCATTAATTATAAACGAGCTTCTACCTAATCAGTCTCAGCTTTCTGCAAATTAAATTAAGAATTCATAGAATATCATAACAACATTCAATGCATTTTAAAAAAGGCAAAAAAAGAAAAAAGAAGAAGAAGAAGAAGACGACTTGATAAAAGGTGTGACACGCCACCAAATTTACTAATGCACGTATACCAATAACATATATTACTATAGCTAGTGGTACTCACATAGCATTAGCAACATGATGATGAATCCTTACGAAGGATTAATTAAGCTCTCTTATTTACTCGTTACACAGTACCATACCTCTAGACGTCTTTAACTAGACATGACTGCCATCTTTTGCTGTTGCCGGTGGTGATGGTGAGCAGGGTGGTATGTACGGCAAGTTTATGGGTGGTAGGGGTGGCGGCCGCCTGATGTGTGGCAGTATGATTGCAAAACCCGTAGAGATGAGAACCAAAATGGCAAAAAAGAGGAAGAAGAAGAAGGGCAATGGTGATGCCATGATGTTATGAGCTTTGTGATTGTGCTTGGCGCTGGGAAGCAGCAGAGTGAGATTGGTTTATATAGGCAAAAATGAGGAAGCCTTTGCCCATTAAAGTTCATTTTTGAAATATCAGAGGTTTGGTGCGGTTTGTGCAAAATATTCATTGGGTACATAATATAGAACTGGTTAATTAATTTGAGTAAATTAATGAAGTTAAATAAATTATTTAATTTTTATAAATAAAAACATGATTTACTTAAAATATCCTATTTATAACATCAGATTATATATAAGTTTATAAATTAGATAAATTAGTTATGATACGAGCACCACTCACAGTGAGAAGATGTATATCCATGAACCACAAATGAGCACAACCCATAGTAAATGTGTTTGTTATGCTAAATTGGCAATGTAAAGCATAAGAGTAGAGAAATTTGTTGATAACTCTGGTTAGCTTTGGCTAACTAGCCCATGCCATAGCAAGGCTATTTGTTACATCATCATATTAATTATTGTATTTTGTATGTTACTATATATATAAAATATTCAGTGGGGTTCAACAAACAAACATATATTGTACAATATATATATATATATATATATATATATGTATGTATGACATATATGTATGACCATTCCGATAACTTTATAATCTACTAGGTTATGAATTAGTTCACATGCCACACATCTGGACTACACAGTTGCTACTTGACATTTAGCTAAGATGATTAGATGACAGTGTTCGGAATGGAATTAGTTTAGGTCCCCTCTGGATCATTTAAATTCTATCTGGACAGTCCAGATTTAATATTTTCAATTAATTATTTTTAAATAACAAAAATCATTTTTTAAAAAGTAATAATTAAGTTATGCTTTTTATTTTAGATTCTATACCCATTAAAAATTATTTTAAAAAATAAAAAAAAATGTAGATCGTCCATTTTAGATCTAGACAGTATAGATGAGATGAGCTTTGGGTGTTCATCTCTAAGATGAGCACCACCCAGACTAGTTCCGTTTGGAATATATGCTTATAATAATTCAAGAAATTTTTATTGAGAGAAGGACATTCATTCCAAAAATTGAAAATTACATTAAGTGAATCATGTCTGAGGTTAGCAATGGAATCGTAGGGTGGCCTCTAACAAATGTCAAACCTAGCTACATTCAAATCCCAAAAGTTTCCTTGGCCTTTAACATAATCAAATTATAATAACGTTATTGATTTATATGAAAATAAACAATAATTTACATGCACTAATTAATTTTTCACATATTTAAAATATGTAATGTTTGACTAATTAAGCAATTTAGAGGCAAAACTAATATGGTGAAGTATAAAACTAAAAGTAAATATATTTTTAAAAGTGCGAGAATAAGAGTGGAAAATTTGTTACTCTCTCATGTCCTTCTTATAATGTTTAAATTTTTGAATCGATCCAGTTCCTATTATAAGATTCACAACTATACATATATGATTGAAACTTTTGTTCAAATTTTTCTTTCCAAAGGGGTATACTGCTGGGGTCCGGGACAAAATCAGTAATAAATGAATGCATTTGATAGAGTTGAGATAATAACAAAACATCATATATAATTCACAACGATTCCGATAAAAACAAAAACTTTAGTTCATTCATGAAGGATTCATGGACGGAAAAAAAATTTGGGCCGTCCATAAATGAATACAAGCAAATGAACAAAAATTTTATCCATCCATAAATATTGCTAAAGATTGAGTAAGTGGCTAACAATAGTTGAAGTGGCGTTGAAACAAACTTTAATTCATTCATGAAGGATTCATGGAAAAAAAAGAAAAGAAAGAGAACTCTTGAACAAAACTAATCAGAATGTCCATCTAAATGAAGTTGTTCAAACTTTCTGAACTCTGAAAGCAACACACACCACAAAACATGAAATACACACACATACACATATATGTATAGTTACAATCCAAAGCAAGGCATTACTTACAATTATTAAATATACCAACTCCATATAGTGAAGAAGTGTCATAAGAGTTATCCGCTAATTCACATGACAATGTTGAAAGTGGATAGTTTTTGCTTAATTGCAAGCAACTATGCTAAAACATCTTTGATATCTATTCTTCCACCAGGCAATTCTGCATAGCATGCCACACCAATCCCAGCAAAGCCAGCCAGACACTCTTGAATGTTGCGTTCCATATTTGAATTCTGCATAATCTTCCTAATGTCTCTATCAGATAGAACAAGCAAATATGGATCCAAAATCTGAAGGACTCCATCAGCTAATGTTAGCATGCAGAATTTGGGTAGGCTTAGATCCTCATGAAACATGCTATCTCTCGGCTTCTTTCTAGCAGGCATCTCCAGCATCAAAATCCCATAGCTGTAGTTATCCCCTTTTGTTGTAACTTCGACACTTTCTCCATACACTAGCCAAACATTAATATCTTTATAGAAAATATCAAATTCCATAATAATTAAAGTTACTTTTAGGTAAAAACAGACGTTTAAAAAAAACAATGCACTGATATACAAAATGTTTAGTATTGAAGTTGAGCATACTCAAGATTTATTTTCTATTAATTAATCATTATTAGAAAAAAAATCAAGGTATTATTGAACAACATAAAAACAACAACATAAGAAGGAGTTATACCTAGAGGAACATAGCCAATTGTTCCCTTAATTGCTGAAGATTTAGTTTGGCCCACACTCGAGTAGCTTGTAACTTCATGAAGAAGCCTAGCTAATCCAAAGTCTCCTAAGTGCGCAACCATATCATCACCAAGAAGAACATTACTTGGCTTGATATCACAACGAACCATAGTTTCCTTAAAACCATGATGAAGATAATCCAAAGCATGAGCCACATATATGGCTACATCCAATCTTTGTCCGAAATTCAAATGTAGATCTCAAGGTTCATCAAGTTTATTCGCTGACAACCAATTCTGCAAGCTCCCGTTAGGCATGAACTCATAAACAAGGGCCTTAAAATCATTGCCATTGTAATCAATGCTTGAACATGAAGTCAGAATCTTCAAAAGATTTCTATGACGGACTTTACTAAGAGTCTTGCATTCTGTGAAGAAAATCCATTGGTTGCATCATGCGGCTCTTTATAAGAAACCCTCACATGAGCATTTTTGTGAGGAAGACAACTTTTTATGTTTTCTTCTCTTGAATGATGAGGCAAATTACAGCACAAGTAAGAGCACTGCTTACCACAATGATAAGTATTATAAATTTGAAAGGCTTCTTCCACTTATTTGGGCATGTAGGTAGCTTTAGTTGAGGTATACCGCCACAAAGATCCTCATTTCCTGTGAGTGAAATAGCTGTGATATTATCAAACACTCGTCCTTTTAGAACCTCACCATAAAAATGGTTGTGAGATAGGTTCATAAGTGTCCAATATTGGAAGATCTTTTAGTTGTTGTGGGATTGTGCCTGACAAGTTATTGTTGGAAAGGTATAAGCTGATGAGGGATTTTGATGAACTAAAGGATGAGGGGATACTGCCATGAAAAAAGTTCCCACTCATGTCAAGATCTGTCAACTGTAAGCATTCCCCAAGTTCCGTTGGAATGTGACCAGAAAAATTGTTTTCACTCATATATAATCCCACTAATTGCTTCAGGTTACCAATCACAGATGGAATGTGACCAATCAAGGAATTAGAAGACATGTCAAGATCTATTAAGCTTTCTAGATGACCAAAGGTTAGATTTGGTACAATGCCGCTTGAATTATTTTGATGCATGTACAAGAATTGCAAACCTTTACAACATTTGAGGCTTATTGGAATTGTTCCCTCAAAACTATTATCAAACAATGAAAGGACAACCAACTTAGTAAGATTTTCGAAGATATTAGGAATTCTATCAGATAATTGATTTTGGTATTGGTATGGGTTTCCAAGATTTTCAAGCTTTCCAATCGAATGTGGAATTGTGCCTTGAAGAAAGTTATATCCCAATCTAAGGCTAAGTAATCCGTCTAATTGCCCAATCTCATTAACCATGCCTCTAAAGATATGATTGAATGTCAAATGAAGAATTTCAAGCTGGGAAGAGAGATTCCCAATTGAGTTAGGCAATACAGCACTAAATTTATTTTTTGAAAGCACTATTGAATGCAATTGACTACAATTTGTTAAGGATGAGAGGAAATCTAGGTCATGACCTTTTCCACTCAAAATTATTTTCGTCAATTACAAATGTATGAAGTTTACGTACTCTTCCCAAACAGGTAGGGAGTAGGCCCCTGGAAGCATTTTTATATATTGCAAATAGTTGCAATTGAGAGATGCTGCATAATGAATATAGAATAGTTCCTGTCAACATGTTGTGTCCCACATTAAAATATCGAAGATTTGGGAAAGCAAGGCCAATATTTGATCAAATAGTTTCAGACAAGTGGTTGAAAGCAAAGCCTAGGTGTTCCATGCGAGAAAGGTTATAAAGTGAAGAAGGGAATTATACCAGAAAGGTTGTTTTTACCAAGATGGTACACGTACACATTTGACAGCCGTCCAAGAGATCGAGGTATACTTCCTTCCAAATTATTAAATGAAAGAGATAAACGCTCCAAGGATGAAAGATTTCCCAAGAAAGCTGGAATGTTTCCATGAAGTTTATTATCATTGAGTCCCAACGCTGTAAGTTGTGGCATGGATCCAAACCACATGGGAATTTCGCGGATCAAATTATTGGCACTGAAGAAAATTTGCCGGAGTTTAGAGTAGTTGGCCAACTGTGCAGGAACTTCTCCCTCAAAATAATTTTGGCTCAAATCGAGAAACTGCAATCGTTTGAGATGGCCAATTTGTTGGGGAATTTGACCATGCAATCCATTATACAAAAGATTGAGCAGTTTTAGAAAGGTTAAGTTACCTAATGCTGGTGCAAGAGTGGCTCCAAAGTATTGGTTTGATAAGTTCAAAGCTGAGACTCTCATGTGGTGGAGACTGCATGTAATGCCGTGCCATTTGCAGAAGTGGACAGAATCATTCCATGAAGGCAGGACCTGTGGAACGCCATCGGTTAACTCATCCTTGAGAGAAAGCAAAGCAAGCCGATCAGTGTCTGAGCCAGTGGCCATGGCCGCTGTAGTTGGCAACAGAACTTGAGAAGCTATGCATAACAGAAAATTGACGGTAATAATGTAGGGGATCATCATTTTGATTGTGGCGAAGGAATCTGCAAAATGAAGCCACATACTCAACAACAAATCATGTACGAGCAAAGTGTATCTAACGAACAATGGAGAGCGAAAGAAAAGTTCATGGAGCTTGTAATTGAGCAAAGCACTTGCTTTGTTATAATAAATAATTATCGAGATTCTATGTGGACCAAGATAGAGGTAAGAGTAAAGACTGGGCAATTTTGATTGGAGAATGTTATTATTAATTGTTGACCATATTATAATATCTACGTTATTTTATTAAACTCTCTTCAATTGTTTAATCCATTAATTTTAATGTTGTGCTGTATTTGAAATAAAAAAGTAACCTGTTTCAGACAAAAATTGAGCACAGTTGATAAAATATTTTGTTATTTTTGTATTATTTTTTTAAATTTTCAATTCAACCATCATGTTATAAAGATTTATTATTAAATCTTTATACTTTGCGTAATTCATAATTGATATTTAGCCCTTGTTATATTTATTATGCAAATTTAAATTCGAGTTAATTTAATTTCATTACTTGCATAAAATAAGTTAATAAATATTCACAATATTTTGATAAAAAATGAATGAATCGGAAAAAACTCGCAGATACTATAATTTAATGTTATATTTCCAATCAATCACACATAAAAAATTTATAATTTAATTTCTTAAACACTCCCTAACCGCTTCGAGCCTGATTGGTTAAGCGGTAGGATCTCCAATAAACCCAAATGCTTATGAAGCATGTTTAGGATGTTTGGATAATTTTTATAAAATCCCGATAGATTGTGATTTTAACCTTCTACCGCACCTTTAGGATAAGCAACAAGAAATAGCATATGCGTTTGAAAAATCCCAATGAATTTTTAGCAACTAAATTTTTTCCAATCTACCCCCCATTCTAATGGTAATTCTTTTAGTTTTTTTGGAAAACATATAATATGAAACTGTTTTTCCTTTAATTTTATCTAGAAGACATTTTTTAAAAAAAAAAATCAGATAACGGATGACATATGATTGAAACAATACAATCAAATATTCAGGTAATATTCTGATTTGAGGAACATCATTAAATTAAGAAAATGATGATGATCAATAATTTTTCAGCTTATTTTTATATATAAAGGGAGTATATGGGGTCTTTTATTTAATATTTGTACTACACATAAATTGCCAAGTGATTTTAAATAATAATTTTAAAATAAAAATAATATTTAAATATTCATGTCATTTATTAAATTATATTTAATAAAATTTACTATTAAATATAATAATTATGAAAATGTAAACAACTTTATTAACTTCATGTCTTTTTTAGTAATTATATACCCATAAGTGATTTTAATAAATAAAACCTAACGTAACCACGATTCTTAAAATCACTTATAAACCAAATAGAAATCATAATTAACCAGTGTCACTTATAAAATTCATAATTATCTAAAATCACAGTTGTTCACTACTAATTCAAATGAGCACTTCCATTGGTAAAGGAATTTACGAGATGAACCTTGGCGGCTAGATCTCTAAAATATCCAAGTCAACGAATTTAAATTTTCTTCTTAGAAAATGGACTAGCTGTATTTGAATTTAAGCAAAGCATTTCCATTTTTTAATAATAAATAATTAAAAATATGAGTACATATTATAATATTCAAAAGACTTTCAGAAATTTTTTGTGCACCGAGGTAGAGATAAGTCATAGAGTAAAGACTGGGCAATTTTGATAGGTGAATGATAACTGCTGACCATATACTAGAAAATTAATACAGACTAGTACAATAACAATTTAAGTAGTGAATGAACTTAGGATGTGCTTTGTCATTTCAATTTTCAGTCTTCATCATGCATCTGCTTTTAAATTAAATGAACTTTATATTATTAATTAAAAATCTTGTAGTTTTAGGAAAAACACTTAAATTTTAACTTTACAAAAATGATATTCAAAAGAAAATTAAATAACATTGCACGGCCACAAATATTATGTTTTATAGATAAATAATGAGGTTTTTTTTTTCAGTTTTACATTGTTGATTTTTAATGTATCTCTTTATTAAATGGAGAGAAAGATAAAGTAAATAACTAAAAAAAATAGAAAATATTTTTAATGTATCTCTTTAATAAGGGTAAATGTGAAAAAAAATTATCAATTTAATAAATTTTTTAATTTACGGGTTTGGGATTAAACAGATTTATAAATAGGAATATAGTGTTTGTTTTTTTTACCAGAGGAATATAGGAGAAATTCTTAAATAAACCTGGTCTGCCACGTCATTTGTGGTTTGATCAATCACAAGCTAACAACTCAGCTAATTTTAATCCTACTTGGCTGATGATTCAGCTGCCCCAATCAATTCAAATTTTATTTTCTAAACAAAATAACAAATAAATAAACCTTTTAATTTTGCGGGAAAAATCACCGAGGGTTCAAGGTTCAAACAGAGAAATCGCCGGCGGGGAGCATGTAGCATTGCCGCCGAAGAGTCCGTAGTGTTGCCGGCGAAGAGTACTCAGCTTTGCTGCATCTTCAATTTCAGTTTCGCTTCTAGTGCGTGTTCTTCCTACGGCATCTCTTGCGGCACGCGCTCTCCATCAACTGTCACAACTTTGTCACATTGTTTGTTTTAGAGTTGGTCTTGGGTAGAGAAGG